GCGGAGAGGCGGAGAGGGGAGTGAGAGGGGGCCCAGGGAGCCCGGCAGCTCGGGGGCTGCAGCCTTACTGCTCGCGCTGAAGTCGTGGCGGATTCACTCCATCTAGGCCCTTTTCTTGACACGGTGCTGAATCCTTGTCGACAGATCTCCTTTAATGATCTTTACTTCTTCTTTTAAGAARCAGCAACATACGCTGCGGTGGCGGTGGCGCGGAGTACAGAGCGGCTCACTCATTCCCCRCCGCCATCTTCCCTCCGTCTTATTTTAAAAATTTACATGAAGTTTTATGGCAATCCAATTTAACTATAATATAATGAGCACCTTTTAAGATAGAGTTTGAAGTGTTTTGACCCATTTCTATACCTTTGAAAATCACAGTCAAGATATAGAATATTTCCATCACTGTCAAAAATTGTCTTGTGCCTCTTTCCACTGAATCCCTCCCCCAGTCCCAAACCTCAGTCAGACAGAGCACCTGCTCCTCTGCTTTCTAGCAGCATAGTTTTTCATTTTCTGCATTGCATATAAGTCTACTGACATATAGCATGTATTATTTTRTGTACTTTTTAAACTCATCATTTTTTAAAATCAATTTCAAATTATGCCAGAATTTAGTAGTTTATTTATTGTTACTGCTGAATATTATTTTGTTGTGTGAATATATACAACTTGTTTATTCACTCACATATTGATAGATATTGGGGTTGTTTTCATTTTTGTAGCTATCTTGAAAAATATTCTATGAACATTCATATTCAAGTCTTTGTGTGGAATTGTGTTTTTGTGTATTTTGGATATATAATTAAGAGTGGGACTTCTTGATCRGTTGGCAAGTTCCTGAATATCTTTATAGGAAATCACCAAAGAGCAATCCAAAGTGGTTTTACCATTGTTAGCAAGCTTAAGTCAGAAAAAGAGATTCGAGAAGGACACATGCTAAAATATAATTTAAAACATCTGCATTTCATGACGTTTTTAATAGTCACTGAAATTTTACCTAGAGTAGTTGGCTACTAGGAATAGTTAACTCTTTTCTACCCTATTTTGTTGACAGTAGGATAAATACATCCTTTTGCCTATTACTTTGCAGCTACATCTAGTCTTACAGGTATAAATGAAAAAGAAACCTTTGATAGTTCTAGTTTACAATTGATAGCTGAATTTCACTTTGGGGAGCAATTTTGCTAAAGAAGACGATAGTTTAGAACATGATAATGGGAAAGAAAATTAAGAAGATGAAATYGGTTATCAGATTAAACTTCTGAGCTCCATTTTTCTCCATCAGAAAAGGAGACATGAAAAAAAAATGCTAGCCACCTCTTGTCATGTCATGTGAATTAAGACTTAGGAGTTCCTTAGTGGAAAACATTTTATAACTGGTAAAATTTTTCTGTGAACTCATTGTAATGCCAGCTTCTAAGAAATCCATTTTGAAAAGAATTGTACAGAGTGAAAATTACCAGGTAAATTGGAGAGAAATGTTTCTTCAAGCCAAAAATTTCACTTGTAATTTAGCTTATCAAGAAATTTTCACAGTCTCATTCTATAGGGCTTGTTCCTTTGTGGAGAGCATGAAACCAATGAGATTTGATGCCCTAAGTAATTGCCTGCCCTACAATGGAGAGGTCATCTTAAGGGCCTCAAAAGTAGGAAGGTGGATCCTTTCTGTAGAATCCCTTTAATATGGCAATAGAGGCATAATATTTCCAGGAATGAAAAATTATCACATATCCTTAATTAAGAAATAAAACTTTAAAAATAACCAGTTTTGCACAATGGAAACCACTGCAGCAAGCAATGTCCTTAGTGCTACATTTCTTAATATCTGTTGGTATGTTGTTTGGTATTCATAGGAATTTCTTCCAGAGCATATCAACTGCAAGCAGACACTAAGCTGTTGTGAGTCAAATGTTCAAATGGGCCAAATTTGTCTCTAGGATACTTGTATCCACTTTTCAGTACTTTGCAAGTATGGTGGAACCTTCACCTCATGTTGTATCCTAAAGATCACCAATTGCTCCCCAGGTCTGTCAATCATTCCTTAAGGGCATCAGGTGCCTTCCTGCTAATAACACCACAGACTTCTATCACAGGAAACCATTTTGTTGCTCAGAGCTATTGTGGGTGTGCACATGGATAACAAAGGTGCATCAAAATACATTGAAAAAAATATTCCAAGTTTTTGGTCATTCTTGATTCATTGACAAAACAAGTACTCTTTGGCATGCCTGGAAAAAGAATTGCTTTGTTTTCGTTGCTTTATGTTGGTGTTGATATTATTTAATATTTAGTTTTAGAGATAAGAGAAACTTTTCTTCCTTTCCTGGAGTTCTTAGAAAGACTTAGAAATTGTCTGAAATTTGCTCATTTCAATAAGATTCTCAAAACTGGCTTATTAGGAAAGAGAAAGCTATTTCATGCTATCACTAGAAATGAGAAGGTCAAGATGCTGAAACTGCAGAAACATATTAATTGCTTTTAGATCTTAAATGTTCAGAACAAAAGTGTGAAGAAACAGGAAAGTGTGAATGATTATATTCTACCCTCTAATTCCCTAAAGTAAACATATTCATTCTATCATGTTATAAGCCTCGCCATATTTTTGTTGTATTAGAGCATTCCCTATTATACCTGTCAAATAAAACCTTGCAATTTACAGAATCATCAATTTCACGATAATGGTTGTCAGAAATTATTTTTAAACTTCTCTAATAATCAAATTTATTTAATCTATGATGATTAGTCAGCTGCTGGTTTGGATAAATATGAAGATTTTCAAAATGTATCTGAACACCATCAACCTCACTCATAGAAATCTAGGAGGGTCACATTATGCTTCAAAGAGRTAGATGATTCAAATAAGTCACGATTACCAAGGAACTGTCTACTTTTAGGAAACTAAAAAATAGAACAACTCTAAATTGCTAAACATAGATAAGAGGTACTTGGTTCAARTAGTCAACCAGTGAAAATCAACAGGAAAAAAWTTCTGACAAATGTTCAAAGTAAGTTATAAAGACATAGTGGTCAGTAATATTGAAAGCCACTTGAATATCAGATTATTAGTGTTCACTCTGTTGGAACCAAATAATATTTTAAATTTGTTTCAGTAATTCTTATCAGGCTACCTTCCATGTATTATGCGATTCAAGTGATCTTTAAATTATTGTCAAATTCTACCTTAAAGAGCGCGTTCACAAAGGACATGCAATTCATATCATCTAGAGTTACTGTCATTTCTAGGCTAAGTCCCATGGAAATTCATAACTTAGAAATGAAAGTCACAAAGATGCAACTGCCTTCATAATGCCAATGCAGCAGTTATAAATATTTCATGAACATTGCATGGGCAGGGGCAGATCTCCATTTTCATGAGTTAGAATTTGTACAGCTAAGTCTCCAGATTTTACTATTCATAATGCACAGTATGCCCTGTAGAGCATTCCATATAGTGCTTTTTAATATTTATGTTTAATGAAGAAATTACTGTTCTGAAAAGAGAACAAGTCAAGCCAAAGATTTCTTGTTAAAAGTATTAAGTTTTGCTGAATAGAGATGATAACGATCAACAGAAATTACCTCATTGAAGGATCTTAGCACATAAACACATAACTTTTATCATAATATAGTATGACAGATCAAGACACATTAAAACTAAGTGAAATGGTTCTCTCTAAAGATTAAAACATTAAAAATCTCATCTTAAAAAAATTGAAAGGTTAAAATGCAAAGAACAACTTTCTTTCATATAAAAATATTAATTATAAGTAATATATTTGCCTACTATTTCATAGTTTAGATACATATCCATATTTTCTTGTATTTTTATTTTTTTCAAAAAGCATTTTAACTTGTTAAGATAATATTACCAAGTTCAATAATGAATTGACATTGCATATTTTAAGTTAATTTATCAAAGTGCATTATCARTACCTGTCAGAATAAATTTTGCACTCAAAGTAATGAAAAAAAAAAAAGGACTATTGTGTGTGTTGAAATCAAAGAACATTACTACAGCTAAGTTATTTCAATAGAAAGGATAGGTATTTGCCCTCTAAATGATACTYGTCCCATGAGAAAATAAAAGCTTGAAAAATCACAGGAATCAAGCACAGGAAAACATCTATTCCTTGCTTTTAAAAATGAGCATTTGATATTTTATTTCATTTTGTCATTTTGATCAATTCTTTCAAGTAGATGAGTGTTGAAAAAATGCTGTTCAGATCTTGGCAACATTTATGAAAGTAGGCTAAAGTTACTGAGCAGCTCCCAAATAATCCAGGGATGAATTATTCCATTTTAGCATAGAGTATATATCACATTTGGATGGATGATGAAGTTGCAGGTAGATTTTCTTTTGAATGTATTTCAACAAGACAAAGTCTTCTAATAATGAAAGCAACAGGCTTCAGATTGAGTATCATTCACTTGGGAGTTGGCAGTTTGAATATTTTTTATTAGGCTTAAACCAATGCAGGCACTAGAAATTCTGTAATGTTTTCTGAACTTGCCACCAAAAGTTTATGTTTCATTCCTGATATCATTTAATGGAAAATGAGAAACACTTTCTTCCAATTGGTTCTTTGTAATTTTATTTTCCAAAGACTCCCTTGAGGAATTTAACCTTTATGTGATGAATTTGCAGTTCACTTGAAGTGTGTTAACCTTAGTTCCCTAATGAGTCTAGGTGTAATGCTGAGGAGAAATTTGAGAAATATATCATGTAGCTCATTGTCAAGTTGGATTTGTCTTGCACATCTCCAGCTTTGCTGTTGTTCTTATACACATTTTGATCACAATTCTTTAATTATGTTCTATATTTAACTGACCTATTTGAACAGGATCCAGAGCTGGTTCGGAACATCTGTCGCTGGGTTAGGCAAGCTGTTCAAATTCCTTTTTTTGCCAAGTTGACCCCAAATGTCACTGATATTGTGAGCATCGCAAGGGCTGCAAAAGAAGGTAAGAACTAAACTTTTATCTGTTGCCCAGTTAGATAAATATTGGCCTGATATATGTGGCCAAAATTGAGTATATTTTTTTTTCACAAACATCTGTGTAGATCTTTCTTAGGTTTTAAGAAAAAATATTAAATGCAGTGTCAATCTCACGAATGTAGTAGAGTCATACCTGGATTTTAGATAATAAATAGACCCTAATCTTTGGCCAGGGAACACAAGATCATTTATAATTTTTATTAATAAACATGTTTTGCAAAGATTAAAAAAAAATTATGAAACAAAGTTAAAGTCACAGAAAATTACTCCAAAGTAAGGAACCCATAATGTGATGATTGTGTAATAGTATTTGAATTGTTGTGGTTTTCTTTGGGGTGGGGAGTACCAGGGATTGAATTCAAGGACCCTAGACCACTGAGCCATATCCCCAGCCCTATGTTGTATTTTATGTTGAAACAGGGTCTCACTGAGTTGCTTAGTGTCTCGCTAAATTGCTAAGGCTAGCTTTGAAATCACGATCCTCCTGCCTCTGCCTCCTGAGCTGCTGGGATAACAGGTGTGCACCACCTCGCCTGGCTAGTATTTGAGTCTTCAATAAGGTTGAAAAAGATATCAGTTCCCACACTATGAAATTTTTTATGAGTTTCTTGTTTATGAGAGAGTCTAGAACATCATCTTAAATACAAGCTCAATAAATATCTATTAAATACATAAATTACGCAGTTGATGCATGACTTTATAGATTAATATGCTTATATTCTATTCTGTGGAAAGTACATCCTGACTGGAAAAGACATTTTAAATTATCTGGAAAATTACATAGAATACAAAACATTCAACATCAATAAATCTATCTAATAATTCAGAAAATGAAGTCATGGTAATTAAACCTTTTAAAAAATATCCAACATTTTAAGCATAACTGTAATAGTTAAATTAGTGTACACATTTGAGAAGAGAAAATTGCCTTACAAGAAGATAGAGTGTACATTTTTCTGGGCATGTGGGTTTGAATGGGTTTTAATCATAGAATCTTTGAGAACTGGAGGCAAACCTTGATGTGTTTTTCACAGGTGGTGCAGATGGTGTTACAGCCACAAACACTGTCTCAGGTCTGATGGGACTGAAAGCTGATGGCACACCATGGCCAGCAGTGGGTACTGGAAAGCGAACCACATATGGAGGAGTGTCAGGTAGGGGTTGTCTCTCTTTACATTATGCTTCCTTGGAGCTTGCTGTAAAGTGAGGAGGTCATGTTGCAAACAAGGGTATCATGTCTTTTATAATCTTGAATTCTTATAACTCATTGCTGGTCGATATTCCTAATAGTGGATAACAGATGGAACAATTGAATGTGAATCCTCAAGTGTCTGTTAGTATCAGATGAGAGAGTGCTGAAATAGGGTCTTGAATGAATTCTATTCTCTTCTATCTATGCTTTCTTCAGAATTTCTCATTGTCATGGTTCTCTTTTCACTTATTATAAAAGCTAATACCATGGCCTTTGAGAGAAGAATATTTGCACCCTAATTATAATACTTTTTGCATAGTCTGAATTAATTTCCACTCTTCATAGAATTTTACAATCTACCTTTTTCAAAAAGCCATGTTTTCACAAGTGTCCCAAACAAACCATTAAAGCATTGCATTTARGCTTGAGCTAACAAGACAGTGGCAGACCTCACACCTTTGCACATTYTTTCTCATTCTCAAACACTTGCATTTGAAACAGAGAGAGAAGTTTTTATCCCAAGGTCCTAGTTAGGTCTTTTTGCCCTGTGCACCCTGTTGCTGTGACAACGTGAACTTGGCCTTGCCAAGACAATGCTGTGAGGTTCTTGACTGTACTGGAATGGGGATTAGTCTCCTTGGTGATAGAGAAAGTGGTAAATATACATAACAGAGTGGTGCCCTACTGTTCAAGAAAAGCATTGCTGAATTAGACCAAAATATGCTTTTGGAAGAAGCTAGATAGACACAAATAAGGCTCTGTCCATGCTGTGGAATTCTGTYGTGAGAGCATGAAGTGAGCCATGAGCCATGAGCCATGACAAAACAACAACAGCCAAAGGTGATATTCTTCTTTAATTGAATGCCCATCCCACAATGTCAGAACAAGGGAGGCTGACTAGCAGCACCTKCTCAGACCCTGACAGGACATCACTCTCTTTTATCAGGAGCTATCAAACAGGACCTTAACTCTTACTGTAATGCAGAATAAGATAGGCTGTGTAAGCAAGTGCCCCAGAAAGAAGCAAGAGACTCCAGAGTTGGGCCACAATGTGCACTATGTTTTCTGTCAGACCATTTCAATTTTTCCAGCCTGCCATGTTGACAGCAAGAGAATAAAGGAGGTCACTGAGGGTGCTGAACATTAAAAATTAATAAAAGAACTATTGCAGTAGTATTTTATATAAGTAACACCATTCACGTTTTCTCATTTAAGCTGCAATTTCTGAATATTCTCCCATACTATAACTCAGTCTAATAAAACTACGAAATTACAGCATTAGAAAAGTCTTTTGTGTTGCGGTCTTTAAGCACACACACACACTGGAAATTATAGCAGTATCTGAAAACAAGTTCGGCTATACCTCAGGGCCTGTTAGCATTTCCATAAAACTCTATTTCTAAGATTTATAAATTCATATATAAATATTCGCTTGGGCTATAAGCTCAGCTAAGCCTTGGTGGAACTTTCATTTTAAACAACAAAATATCCCTAACATTTTTAAGGGCTTGTACCTTATTTCTAATAGGTTCTATATTAAGTTCCTTCACATTAAACAATCTGTTTTGAAAATAGCTTTTCCCATATTGACAAAATTAATACAGTTTTTCTCCTTTAAAGCAATGCTTGCATTAGTTTAGAGGTAATAGAATCTGAAAAGCAGTTTAAACAGGCAATGATAATATATTTTAGGATGGAAGCACGTCTATAACAAAGCACCTTCAGAATGAGTTATAGCAAAACCTAGCTAGTAAAATTGTGCTAAACAATAATGGTTTGAAGTTTTAGGGGTGATGAAATATAAAAATGGCTAAATACTATTCCTAGTCTATCAGATGTGACTGTCAGAACTTCAAATGCTATTTCAATTTAGAAATCACACAAAATATGCTGGATATATTTACAAGATTTAGAAAAAAAATAAACAGCATAGTGCTAATATCTTCCCAAGCGTTCTCTCAGAACACTGGAATGCCTACTTTTAGAAGAGCTGTTTGAGTCATAGTTTTTGTTGTTGTTGTTGTTRTTTCTAAGCAAACACTATAGAGTTCAATTTGGGATAGCTGCCTAATAGCACATGCTCTCTATTGCCAGGACAGGACATTCTACCCTTTCAATATATTCTCTATCTCCTTATTCAATCTGTATTTTTTTTTCTCAGACTGAGATTTCTGTTTGAAATAGGAGTTTGTTTTTGTTTAAACGGGGAAGTAACCTTTGGCTATTGTTGTTTTATCACGGCTCATAGCTACACTTCATACTCTCATGACAGAAAACCTCAGCATGAGAGAGCTTTATTTGTGTCTATGCAGCCTCTTCCAAAAGCACATTTTTTAATCCACTGTAGAAAAGTGTCACATTTCGGCATTGTTCTCTTAAGATGCATTAGCTAATAAGGGGCAGTAACAGGCATTGGGGAGATAAAATCTCAACTAAGAAATAACAGTTGAATTATTATTGACTAAAATATTAGTCTACATTCTAGAGCCATCTTTGCAAACACTGGTTCCCACCTCATGACTGTGTTATAGAATCAAGTTGAATAAACTTGAATCAGCATTTTAGAAAAATGAAATAGAACAGGAAAATGTCTAATGTTTTGCTTATAGTTAGGATAAGCTTTGGTCAAACTTCTTTTTCAGTTAGACACAGAATACATTTAAAAATACATTTTAAATGTAGATACATTTAAAAATGCATTTTATATATATAGCATGATATAAAATGCATTTTTAAATGTATCTACTTCGAAAACGTTTGAAAGTTAAATGCTGTATTAAGAGAATTTTATTAAATAAAATAAGTAATTAAGCTAATCAAAAGATAGCTTTTACTTGTTGCAATTTAGAGTTATACTAAGCGGGAATATTGGGACCACCTTCTGAGATATGGTCTTTTATCTTGCTACTTTAGAATGGCATTTTCTCCCCAACTTACCTGTAGGTGATTATGATGGGGGCAGGAACTTGGGGGCGGCTCAAACATATGGACCAAACTCATAAGAGAATGATTTATAAAGCTGGATTTCAATCATGCCAGAAATACCTGGCAAGGTTCATGTTCACAAGTATGGGTCCTTTATAGGTTGAATTATAGATCAGGTGATTTCATAGTGAGAACACTATCAAAAGAAATCTTGTTTGGTATTCATAAGAGATATTTTCATGAAACTAGGATGGCTAATTAGGCTCTCCACCATACAAGAACTTCTCTCTGAATCACTGATTTTTAGGGAATCCTCTTCTTCTCTTTGGACAGTAGTAACACTGATAAGTTGTTATTAGCTAACTTTATTAAATCAAACATTAATTAATTGATGTTATCACCACAAGATTGAGTGGATGATTGGGGAGTTTTTGTGAGTACTGGGAGAAGAAATTAATTGATTTTATTTATTAGATTAGGAAAAAACACTAATGTTATCAGCAAGTTGATTAATTATGGTCTTTATCCTTGAGAGAATTATTCATTATTGTTCCTAGTTTTAGTTTGGCTCTTTTTTCCCCCTGGTTTTGTTTAAAATTTGGAACTCTTTTTCTGACCTTGTCCCCAAATAATGAGAACATCTTAATATAGCCCCCAACCCAGTACTATCACTCATCCTATAAATGGTGTTATCCAGCTGTGGTGTGACATTTTCACATGAAGTCCTCTCTGTGGGTAACAGTCTTTTAAAGATGGTTAAGAATGAGTCCTTCATAGCATAAACTAAAGATATGGCTTTCTTGAAACTGACTTCATGAAGGTAACCTTTTTTCATTTACAGCTGCATCAAGAGAAAGAGTAATTGAGCATCTTTCCATGGGGTAAACTCATTTGAAGGAGTTTTGTTGTTCCTTGTGCTTTGGATACTTTTTATTATGGAAGATAGGCATGTTCCTTAGATTTGTTGTTGTTTCATTGTCCTGTGTGTATCCTGTTTACTGAACACATGCACACACATAAGAAGTCCTGAATTTGCTCTGAAGAAGGAACTTTAATACTTTGGGTTCAAAGTAATTTACTTTCAACAAAATTAAAAAATTTATTACTCATCGTTTTAAATTATTTTGTAAAAATTTTGTTTTACCAAAGAAAAGGAAAATCTTGTACTTAATTTTAAATTTCAGATGTTTACTTAAAATTATTAAGTATAAACTTGTTGAAATAATAGAACACTTCTTATTCAGTATTAATACTTATAAATATTTATTGTTGATTTCTGAGTAGTTCACCTAAGATGATCTTTAAGATTGACCTCTCTTTCAGTCCAAATTTATTGATCACAAATAGAATATCATAGAAAGTCTAAGAAATTATTGTGTATTTCTCAAAAAAAAAACCAACAACAACAATAATGGCAAATTACATAGCTGGTTTTAGGGTCTACATGTAAATAATGAATACCCTGAAATTTCTCTATGTGAGCCACTGGGCACTGAGCTCTGATCRCACCTTAATGGTTATGTCTCCTAATGGTGCTTTCATTTAAAACTGACATGGGAAATACTAATAGCAGAAGGCACAGGTTAGAAATATTGCTAGTGATTTGTAGCTCTGTGATGGAGTAGGGCTGAAAATTAGTACAGAGTGTATATTTAGAAAACTTGCACAAATGTGAGTCGATCTAGTAGTTTGAAAATAACTTTAGGCATTGCCTCCACTTTGCATATTTTGTGATTAGTTTTAAAATGGTTACTTAGGCTAAATTATTGTGGTCATGCAGTAACTTGGCAGTATGCACCCTGACACTGGGAACTACATAAGTACAAATTCAGTGTGACCCGATCCTATCATGACCTAAGGYTTATTTTGATGTAGGTACTGGTAACTATTTGTGTAAATTCAGGAAGATGATAAAACACAATAGAATGAAAACTCAGAAGTTTTAGTTACATATTGCTTTAAATAACTATTTTCACACATGCAAGTTAGTGGAGATTTTGGCAGGATTGCTTTAAGTTCTTATATTACATACTACAA